CAGGAAAATCAAGGGGGTGAAGCCTATTGAATCTGAAAAAATCTAATTCAAAATGGGGGTTAAGGGGGTCTTATTAAACTGTGAAAAGAATAACAGAATGCCAAGCATATATCTTCAGTCTAGTTAATATTGTATGTCCCATAGGTTTCTGGCCAGCTAATATTTAAATTATTTAACGAAATAAAAATTTACTTATTTTGCTATATTTGACAAGTTTTATTAGCTGTAAAGAAAAAAAAAATTATGCTTTTACCAGTGGCGTACGATTTGAATAAGAAACACTTCTTTAAGTTTCATGCCACATTCCAAATATTAATTATGAATATAATTTTGATTTTTTTTACATCTTTTACGTAAATTATGTATCTAATCTTATTAGAAAGTCATAAAATAGACATATTTTCCACTAATTCATTGGGTACGTTAATTTTTAGGATTATATACGTCAATTTATAAAAAAAGTACATAATCTTATTAAGCTGGTGGTGTACATTAAACACTAATGATGCCTATAAAAATCATTTTCATACATCAAGTTTTTTTTTTTAATTAGGTACTGGTATATAACAAAAGTAGTATTCAGGTAATTAATTATAGATTATTATTATTCGTTGTAAATCATTAGGTTTTTTATTAGATACTAATTGTTTAATAAATGGTAAAACCAGAAATATAATTTGGGGAACTAGGAACTATTTTATTTTAGGAAAATCCCATGTTAAATCATTAGTTGAACGATACAAATCCGAAATATAGGATGGTGATATTGTTTTTATTCTTCCTACTCCACCATGATTAATATTTGAAATGTGTATACGAAAATTGAAACCACAACACATGGCAAAGTGTTAAATAAATGAAGTTTCTTAGAATTAAAAGAACAACAAAAATTAAGAGAAGCAAATGGTGTGAAAAATTAATCTGAAGCCAGAAAAGGATAAAAATTGAAGAAATAGGGACAATAAAAGAGTACAAATAAAAAGCATATCAATAATAAAAAGAAAAAAAAAAGAAGTGAGAAGACTGAAAATTATAATTGATATGACACACAATAGGGAAAATTGAGTCCTCAAGTCCTACAATAATTACAAAATATCAAGTTCAAAAGTGACCATCCGACTTTAAAAAGTATACTAAATTTAATAAAATATTCAGTGCTAAGAATTCTGAAGAATATTTAAAATAATTATCAAGTGTAGTGGAAGAGTGAGGACAGAAGTCCGACGCACGAGGGCGCAGCTTTTCCACTTGAACAAAATTTTAAAAAATAACTTTTTCTGGGTGGATAGTCCTCGGATTAAGCCCATAACCACATTAAAAAAGAACAAGAATAGGGAAAGTTGGAATACAAAAATAGATGTCCACCAAAGAGTACCCACATTGCTTTACTCTCCCCTACGTGTACGCAAGATGTTGTTTATCAGTTTTTTACCGCATCTTATGTACCTATATTGATTTACAAAATACGAATTTGCAATTTGACCGTTCATGCGGAAAAGATTTAAAATTTAAATTATATGAAACCTCTTACATATTAAATATCACACGTCTTATAATAATTTACATTTGTAAAAACAAACACCACGAAGGCAATAATTAATGTATTATATTTGTTATCTTTTAATTCTATCAAGGACTTTGATACAATATGTAAACTAATCAAAAACCAATCGAAGGTCTAGAGAGGCTTTATAAAGAATGAACGATTAATGGGTCAGTGTATATTTTTTCTACGCCCATATGGATATTAGCTTATCTACGCAGAAATAACAAAACTAAAAAGTATGCCATTGCGTTCAACTGAACGAATATATGTCATATCCATTCTGCCTAGTAAGAACACTCCAAAAAACTGAAACCCACCAATCATAGTTCTTATTTCTGTCACCCGGCTACTATTATTTTTTTTTACATCCACATGGATATTAGCTTATCTACGCACAGATTACAAAACGAAAAAGTATGCTATTGCCTTCAACTGAACGAATATATATTTCATATCCATTCTAGATAGTGAGAACACTACAATAAAATGAAATCCACCAATCACAGTTCATCTTTTGATCAACCGACTGCTACTATTTTTAAAATTTTAAATAAGTGACAATTCTGTCAAACTAATTGTCAGTATATATTCTAGTTATTGAGATTATTCATACATTAAAATGAGTTATTCTTGTATAGAATCGATAAAAAATAGATTTTATATTTTTATTTCGTCTATAATTATAAATAATTTGTTAATTTAAATAGAACTATATCAAGTCAATTTAATTATAAATATTAAGGCAAAAAAATAAACGCGTAGATGGTCCTGTGGTCAGGGTTCTTGCCTTCCATGCGGAAGACACGAGTTCAAATCTCAGATGGAGAAAAATGAAATAATTTTTTTTCTTGTTGATTTTATTTTATAAATGAGTAGAAGTCATGAATTATTTTTAAATTAATTATTTTATCTTAATAACCTAAAATAATTTTTATTATTTGTAGATTTTCGTTAGTGGGCCATAGAAAAAATATACTGTAGGGGAAAGTGTTCCACAATGAGACATGTTCCACAATAAGACATTCGCCATAACTTTTTGAACTTCCCGCCTATTTAGTTTAAAAAATATGGCCGCTGAACATATTCAGTTGTGCATGTGATCCACCAATTTTTACGAAATTTAGAAAATTCTAAGCATATTTAGTGACTTACATAGCTCAAATTCAGGCAAGTTTCTTTTTATAGTCGATATTTCAATTGGTGATTAAATAAAATCCGGTGGTTTTTTGATAAATCTGAAATTCAGAAATTGTTTGGGCATTTCTAGGTTAGGATTCTGCATAAACTAGAGATGTTCAAAATGATCGAAAAATGTTTGCCAACTTCTTTAAATAATATCAAAAAAGTTCCACAATGAGACAGTTGGTTTTGTTCTAGAATGAGACGGTGTCTCATTGTGGAACAAAATTTTTCAACGCGTGAATATCTAATGTTTTTCATTTAATTTTCATGTTAGGGTCAAAACTATGGCTCGTGGAAGACAACAAAAATCGGAAAAAGGTTCTTTCACAGAGGACCAAATGAAGGCAGCTGTGCATATGGTTCTTGAAGGAAAATTAATTTTAAGACAATCATCTGAAAGGACAGGCATTACATTTCAATCACTTCATCGCTACGTCAAAAAACAAAAACTTGCAGGCGAAAATGTGAAAATAAGATACAATCCTAACTATGCCCTTTACTGGGGATTGCGAAGACGAAACATTTGAAACCCATACGGCTAATAATTAGGATTGCAATGGCAAAGATATTAGGGGCTCCTCTGAAGATGCTAGTGATATTGAAGATGTATTGGATAAAGATAACTTCCTTGCACTGGAGCGACAACCAATCGCTGGGGACTACCTTTTAGTTCAATTTGATGAATTAAAAACTTTTATCTTTTATGTCGGAAAATTTTTAAATAAAAAAGAAGATAAATTTGAAATTTCATTTCTTCGTGAAAGTAACAAGTCTAACTGTTTTTTCCACCCCGTAACAGAAAATATAAGTATGATCGAAAACTAAGAGGCAACAGGCTCTAATAAGTTTTGAACTAAACTTCAACTCATTAAATGTGCGCTAATATTTTGAAAGATTTTATATTATATTTTTACTTGTTGGATTTATATTTTATCTTGTCCTATCTAGCAAAATAGGTTTTTTGAATAATGTTTTTGCAAAGGAATGTTTATTTTCCTTTATTATATATTTTTTTTTCATATTTTTTGTATTGTTTTTTGGTCTAAAAAGTTCTGTCTCATAGTGGAACATACTTGTTCCACAATGAGACAAAAATCACGATTTAAAAAAAATCCCTATTTATTTTCTAAATCGATATATTGATAAACTTATTGCGTTAAATGACGAGGAATATGTCAATCTATGTGCATGAAATAACAAAATTACAAAATTCAATCATAACCTCTGGCAACTTGCCGAAACGTAATTTATGTCTCATTGTGGAACACTTTCCCCTACAGCTCGAGTGGATTATCCATACCTACTCTTGTAGCACAATCTACTATTTCCCATGGAATATAATATTTAAAAAACACAATACACCTTTAAAAGTAACATTATACAAAATAACCGTTTTATATTCTTTTTTAAATTATTATTTTATTTGTTTGTTTAAAACATAAATTAAAACTATAATGTATAGGAGGTGGAATCCAAGGGTCCCGGGTTTAATTTATTTCATTAAAAATTAATTCTAATGCATAGGTCGGATTCCCCACTCGTCCATTCAATGTGAGAATTTAATAAACAGTGTTGTTCTTAAAGTGACGGTGGGAAACAGTAACAAAATCTATACGAGACTAATAACTTTTATAGTTGATGTCAATGACACCGAATAAAAAAATATAATAAAAAATAATTTCTGTGAGTAGTATTTTATTAAGAAACTTTGTAGGACAAAATAATATTAAAAATTTAAATTAATATTTTTGTTACTATTGTTTTTAAGATGCGACACATTCTGAGGTGTAACCTATCGTTAAAAAGGGTTTGAATCAATATACAGGGTGTTAAATTTAAAGCCAAAGTGACCAATATTATCCGGAAACGGCCAATCTGACAACAGTGCAATAAACGAAACAGAAAAAAATATGACAATAATATAAAAATATAAATAACATTTTAAATGACCTAATAGAACTATTTTTAAATTAATTATTTAAAAATGTAGTCATAGATAATTAGAAACTCCTGTTTCCTAACAAATATTGTCACGCGCTATTGACTGTTATAAATTGTTAATCTATTGTTTTAATTTGATCAATTTTATGTATTCTGAAAGTGACTTTATTCAAACTAAATTATAAAACTATCGACATTTTGCAAATAATATATATTTACGAGTTTAACAGCCGGTAATTTAAAAAAAATCGAAATTTAATATTTTAACATTTTCATAAATATAAATATATTAATTGTCAGACAGAAATAAAAAAAAAAACAATATACTTACTTTTAAATTCAGCTCCATCCGGAGGACAAGGTGCTTGATTCAACATACATTTAGTGTAATAATTTACCATCCTCCTATTATTGAGCAGAGCCTCTATATCCACGTGATCATACTTGGTCTTATAGTACTCTATAGGGCCAGTTGACACAGGCACAGAATCATCCTCAGTCCCATTGCTCGCTGCAGCATTACTAGCAGACACCGCCGAATCATCCCTAGCATCCCTATTGTATTTAGAAATCGAATTACTCTTATCGGGAACGGAATTACCTTTATCGCGAATGGAATTGTCTATAGCTGGTGTAGCAGATGCGGAATTACCCTTGTTAGGATCGGAATTATCCTTATCTGGAACGGAATTACCTTTATCCGGAACGGATTTACCCTTATCAGGAACTAAATCATCTGTATTAGTATTAGAATTACCCTGAATAGGAACGGAATTACCTAAATCAGATACAGAATCACCCTTAGCAGGAGTAGCAACTACGGAATCGTTCGCGTTTCCGGAAGGAATTGAGATAACAACGGTTTCTACGGGTACAGTTACGACTAACTTGCACAATGCCACTAATAAAACAGGAAGTAATGTTACAGATTGCACCGGGCGAACCATGGTGGTTTAGAAAGTGATTGGTATGCTCGTCGTACTGTCGATTGTTTACAACTGAACTGGCTAATGCTTTCTTGAGTAATTGACTGGTTGGCCGAGTGCATTAAAGAGCAAGGTTAAAGTGGAGGAACAACTTGATATGTATACTCGAAGTGGATGGTAAAGTGGTGACCATATTTCAAAGAAATATTATGATAACGGAAGTGTAAGTAAGTCGGCTGTTGGAATATCGGACAATTTCTATTTGAAAATAAAGGTGGAATAAACAATAATTATCGTTCATCTTAGAAATGAGAAATTTAAAAATTTTATTTGAAATATTTTGAAAGCGCTTTCAATACTTTTGTACAGTGGGGACGTAATAATACCCCCTCTAGTAATAACTTTTATATGAAAGAAAATAAAGACAGTGATATTTTTGTTATAACAAGATGGACTTTGCTTGAGACGTAAGATGTAGGGCGTTATTAACTTTCTACTTTCTAAAGGAAATTTAAGTCATGTGATACATCATTTGAAAGATATTTTCATTATCTTTATGTCAATGAAGCAAACCATTTCATTGACCGTAGGTGGCAGGTCTTTCACGAGTGACGTTATTTTTTTCTGTAAATGTAAATAAAAGTGTTTTTCTACAAATATTGCTGAAAAAAGTGCCAAACATGAATGGCAAAACACGTAAAAGCAGAATTTGCTTTGTTCCCGGGTGCAGAACGAGATATTTTACAGATAAATATAGCTAAAGAAAAATATTCTTGAAATTCAATATACACTACCCTTTTGCTTGCTGACAAGCAGTGGCGGCTTGTCATAATTTAAAATGGATGTTCACTTTTTTCAATAATTTTATCATTTGTAAGTTCGGTTCAAAAGTTTGTAGTTATTATTATCATCAATATTATACTGTTTCTACGCACTACAACTATTAATGAATGAATAAATGAATATTTTAATTGTAAATTTAATCATTTTCACAATTTATCACAATTTGTCACAATTTGTCACAATTTGTCACAATTTGTCACAATTTGTCACAATTTGTCACAATTTGTTACAATTTATCACATGTAACGGTATGTAAACGTTCGAACTCAATGCTCTACCTATTAAAAAAGTCCTTCACGCGTGTAAACTTTCAAACATTTTCTAAACTTTATACAACTTACGTTAGACCGTTGATGGAATATGTCGGACCTGCGTGGTGTCCTGATCTGGTTTCTGATCAAAAAAGATTGGAAAATGTTCAACGCTACGCTACTCGAATACCTTTCGGCACGATCAGACCATCGTATGAAGAACGGCTTAACATGGCGAATTTGTGTTCATTTTCCCACAGAAGATTAAGAGGTGATTTAATTGTGACCTACAGAATTCTTCATGGTACTTTTTCATCCAACCTCTATAGTATACTCCCACTGAATACAGATGAGCGCCTACGTGGACATGAGTATAAGTTGAGCAAAGAAAATTTTAAAACACGTACCCGACAAAACTTTTTTTGTAATAGAGTTTTCTATACTTGTAATAATTTACCCTCGAGTGTTGTTCGCGCACAGTCAGTAAATGTATTCAAAAACCGACTCAATAACTTTTTTAAAGAAAACTAAAAGTTTATTTTTAGTGCTTCGTTTGCAATATGTTATTTGCTAATTACTTATTTAATAATTATCTTTGTTATTAAACTTGTAATTTTGGGCTTAATAGGATTCATTCCTCAGCCCTAATTTATTTGTAATAATAATAATACTAATAATGTCAAATGAAATAATATATTTTTTAAATACGTTTTATTGGCAAAAAACAAGTGAACTAAAATGTGTATTTTATAAAATCAGTCCCATCACAATACACAGTTATAAACTAAAATGAAGATATATAATACGTATCATTCTAAATTATGCTCTTCACAGTTTAATAGAACTCCTTAACCCCCATTTTCAATCAGATTTTTTTTAATCAAATGGCTTCATCCCCTTGTAGAGCTTGATCTTTCCAAAAATGTTAAATTGATATTATTTTTTGTTTTTGAGTTAGATTTATTTTAAATATTTCAACCCCCTTGTCACCACATTTTTTAATTTTTTTTTACAATCAATAGGCCTCATCTCCTTATAGAGCTTGATTTCTACTAAAAATTTCATGTTGATATCGCTTTTTATTTTTTATTTGTTTTTTTTTTAATATCAACCCTCTCTAAACCCCTCATTTTAATCAGAATTTTTTTTCATAATCAATTGGCTTCTTCTTCTTAAAGAGCTTCATTTTTACTAAACATTTCATGTTGATATCGCTTTTCGTTTTTAATTTAGGATTTTTTTTAATTTCAACCCATTTTAACCCCCTATTTTTAATCGGATTTTTCCGAAATCAATAGACTTTGTCCCCTTATAGAGCTTGTTTTGTTTACTAATAATCTAACTATTAAAACTTTTTTTTAATATACCTACATGAATTGTTGGTTTTTGTAACATATTTCTATATTCTGATAACAAATTTTCTATGACATAGTCTTATATACCTCCAACATGGTACGACTAACGTGAGAGTTAAAGTATTATTATTATACATAGTATAAAATACCCCTGAAAAGGTCTCCATGAGCCGATTTTAAAAATATAACCTTTATAAAACTGCACTATGTCGACATAGTTCAGTGTACCTTCCAAGTAGATATCGGTAAATATTTAATATAGTTTTCATGATATAGGTACATACCTAACATAGACACAACTATTAGGTTTCTTGAATTAATTTAGGCCAGTGCAATATTTATGTTTTACATCGCCTTTAAAAAACTGTAATATAATTTTATAAAATCCCCAGCTTACATTAGTCTGACACTGTTTATCAGTACCTCTAGCATTTATAGATAGGTCATTTTTCTAAAACTTCAAATTCATTATGGACAAGCTACAAAATAAACAATTATCCATATAAAATTGTGTTTAAGCGTCGATCTTTACACCTCTGAGTAATGTTACATGTGGGTTTACTTGACAGATTAACAAATAATAGCCCTATAGTTTAATCAGCAAGTAGTTACTTTCAACTTTACTTACAGGTGAAAAGACTGGCCTTTAATAAAATATATATTACCATTTTCATAGTTTTTTGAAACTTCGTTTGTCTTTTGTTGGAAACAAAAAAAAATTGCTCAATGCATAGTTGGGTATAAAAAAGATGACTTTTCTGTAAACCCTGAAACAAAATATAAATTACAACCTCAAAAATAATAGAATTTTTTTTTACCTGAGACGTTATTCGGTAACAATCGTTGAATTGACACACATACTTCCAATTTATTAAAGTCGCCGTTTTATTTAAACTTAACTTTTAATAAATACAATACACAAATAAAATTTTCTCATGTTGATTTTTAGAATTTGACAGCTTTATTGAAAAGTTGGAAACGTTGAAGATAAAAAATGAAGTAGATAGAGACGACATAAACACTATTTTGTGATATGACAAGAGGAGGCACTCTGATTCATACTTTGATTAATTTTAAATTAATAATTTTGTATTTTGAATATTGAGGAAATGAAAATGTTTATTTTAAGAGAATGGCATTTATTATTACCAAAACTGACTAGCTCGAATTTGACATATAACGTAAAAAGGTAATGCAAAAGTGCAGACACTTTTAGTACCGTTATTGCATCTCTTTATTTTATATCTATGATTTGAAAGACACGTATGCCCCGCCCTACTTTGTGACGTCACTGTGTGCGTTGCGCAAAAAAGGTGATTTTATAATGGATTTTATTTGTTGCACTAGTGTCACACTCGACACTGTATTCGAACTGTCATACTTGTCAAAAGTATATGTTTCGTGATGGTTTGGTGTAAGTGCAACACTTTTAAATCGAACGAGATCTTACATGTACTTACTTGTAAATTTTAAGTAAAATTAGTGTTCGTTTTTTATTTTTTGATTAAACTTAACTCTTCATCGTCATATTGATCAATTATATTTTCAGTTAATTTTGTTTAATTTTCTTCTTTCTAATAAAATAACTTCCGTTAATACTTCATCTTCTTCCAATAAAGAAGATGAAGAAAAATGCTCACGTATAGCCATTACTCTATTAAAATCACCCACATTTAACAGCTACACTGAGCTACACTTCCGTTAAAAATCAGTGTAGAGTTGTAAATTCAGTGTACGTTTGTTTGCAAATAAAACAGTTACACTTCATCTACACTCAAATATTTGAAGCTACACTGAACAAATCAAATGTGATTAGTGCAGAACACTTACACCTAGTGCAACAAATAAAATCCACTAATAGTGATTTTAAGAAGTACATTGTTCGTTTCACGGATCTGTTAATGTGTTGACATCTCTTTTTAGGTAGCATCTCGCCTTTTAAAATAATGTGTTCACTAAACAAATGAACCAATAGAGTTTTAGTCCTTGCTGACAGGGCATTTTACCGCCAGATTGATTGCAGAATTATTATTATTATATTATTATATAATATTATTCTATCGCACACAAAAATGATCCTTGCGTAAATTCAACATATTATTATAATAATAATAATTTTATTTTCCAAACTTGAAGGTTTTTCACCACTACTAAGATACAATAAACTTTTTTTATTCTTATTTTAGGTATTGGTTTTTTGAAGACGTCGTCATTGAGCGCTCCATGGCTGGTGAATCTGCAGCAAAATATTTAAATTTTCTACAAATTAAGAATTAATGATTTATAATTCAGCCTTGTGAAAGTGTGTATCAAGAAAGTATTACTGGCTCACGACTAACTAAATTGATTCAATGACAGTTGTTTAAATTAACTTAACGATGCCATGGGGTAATTGTTATAGCCAACCTAACAATTGTAAGGTGGGGATAAAAGAAAGAGCAATTAAGTTGTTTGGAAAATTACTAGATTCAATATTCCCGCGCTTTTTTCGAGCATGAATAATGCGAAATTGTCGAATTACGGGAAAGGTGAAGTTTTTGCATTTATGGCTTAACGATGGCGACATTATATTATTATGTATAGACTGAAACTGTTGCAGCATCTGGCTTTTTAATTTTTTAACCTGTTTGTAATAATGATTTAGAGTTTTCATTCTATAGATTTAAAATTGTTTCGGAATATATATTGCGACACGTTAAGCGTCCCTTTCAATTATTTTTCGAACCTCGTGCAGTATTTCCCACTCCGACGCATTGTCGACGGAGTTGACGCAATATTTCCTGAAACATCTCTAGGAATATTTTACAAAAAATTACCTTAGATATCACAAATAAACAATTTATATTTAGAAAGTTTGCATGATTAATTAGACAATTAACTTTATAAATTGCGTAGGTAGGTACATCGCAATCAAGAGTCAAACTTTCCAATTCCAGAAACAATTTGCAGAATTCAGTTCAATTCTTTATTTACGACTACACTCATTATCTATTTGCTTCTTCATATTCACTATTAAAAGTCGATAACTATTCTATATATCGGAACCCATCATTATTCACTAAATTTTAAATAGAGCGCCATGATTTACTTGGTGGCATAAGCAAATGAATAAAAAATATGTAAAGTCAAAGTAAAAAAATATTTAGTTAATTCACTGCAGCTTTAAACCAAAAAGAGATACTACCTGAAAAACATCATCATCATATTCTAAAGTTCCAGAGTTACTGGTTTGATGAACTACTTCTATTGGTATCTGTCTATTTGATACAGGTAAAATGAAAATAACCGAAATCGTTAAAAAAAAAACAAAAACTAAACCATAGTAAAGAAAGGAAAAGCAAAGGAACAAATAAAATAAATTTAAAAAATCTTTATAAAATATAATAGTCAGGTGGTGAAACTTTAAAAGCCTTCAAAATGACCGAAATACTAAAAAAGAACAATTGAACGAATGCTTAGAAACCATCAAAATAACCTAAGTTAATTAAAAAAGTGACGAAAAGCAATAAACCAAGAAATCCAAGAAAAGATAGCAATGAAACATAGTAAAGAAAATATAGCAAAGAAAACATAGAGAAGAAAAATAGCAAATAAACTTAGAAAAGAAAACAAAGAAACGAAATAAAATAAAAAAAACGGCAAAAGAAACATAGCGAGGCAACATAGCAATAGCTCTCAAAATTACCGAAAGACTCAAAAAACAATCGAATTAGTGATTAAAAACCATCAAAATAACCTAAGTTGATTAAAAAAGTGACAAAAAAGCAGTAAACAAAATTACAAAAAAAAGATAGTAAAGAACATAGCAAAGAGAACATAGTACAGAAAATATAGCAAAGAAAACATAGCAAAGAAAACATAGCAAACAAAACAGCAAAAGAAACATGGCAAAGGAAACATAGCAAAACCACTCAAAATAACCGAAATACTAGAAAATTAATTGAATTAATTATTAGAAACCTTTAAAATAACCTAAGTTGATTAAATAAGTGACAAAAAAGCAATAAATCAATAAATCAAAGAAAAGATAACAAAGAACATAGCAAAGAAAACAGCGAATATAACATAGCAGAATAAAATATAGAAAAGAAAACAGGAATAAAAACATAGCAAAAAAACAGGAATAAAAACATAAGAAAAAAAAACATAGCAAAAAATATAGCAAAGAAAACATAGCAAAGAAAATATAGCAAAGAAAACATAGCCAAGGAAACATAGCGAAGAAAATATAGCAAAGGAAACATAACAAAGAAACAATATGAAAATGGTAAAACATCAGCATTGAATTTGATTAAAAATTACTCAGGTCTCCTACCTCAGTATTGCATTCGTGCCGACGAAAACATTTTCTTACCCCCATTTTTTAACACTATTCTCCATGTTTTTGATCATTCTAAATCCAAAAATGCAAAGAAAAAACATTTTTGTCTACGTCTGTGCGTGTGCGCGCCGGCACGATAACTATAGAACGAAAGCTCCGATCTACTTAACTGAGATCCCTATTGATTTTCAAAATTTTTTATTTGGGTATTTATTAAACTATATGCTTGGCATTCTACATTATACTCTTTACAGTTTAACAGACCCCCTTCAATCCTTATTTTTAATGAGAATTTTTTCAGAATCAATAGATTTCATCCACTTATAAAGCTTGTTTTTTTTCCAGAAGATTCTAATTTGATAGATTTTTTGGGGGTTAGGATTTTTTCAATATTTCAGCCCCCCTAATTCCCCATTTTTATTCAAATATTTTTTTCGGAATCAATAGGCTTCATTCTCTTATAGAGCTTATTTTTTTATTAAAAACATTATGTTGATATCGCTTTTGGTTTTTAATTCAATTTTTTTTATTTTAATCCCCTTTAATCCCCCTTAACGTCCCTTAACTAAATTCCCCTTAATTCTTCATTTTATTCAGATTTTTTTAAATTCAATTGGCTTTGTCACCTTAAAAGGCTTGTTTTTTACTAAAAATTTTGAGTTGATTTTATTTTTAGTTTTTAATTTTTTTTTAATATTTCGTCACCCTAATACCCCCGTTTTTATTCAGGTATTTTTTTCAGAATCAATGGGCTTCATTTCCTTATAGAACTTGATATTTACTAAAAAAATTATGTTGATAACGCTTTTAATGTTTGATTTCAACCCTCTCTTAATCCCCCTTAATTCTCCTTAACCCCCATTTTATCCCATCATTTTATCCCACCATTTTATCCCACCATTTTATTCCTTCATTTTCTTCCTTAATTTTTTCCCCCCATTTTTATTGAAATATTTTTTTCAGAATCAATAGGCTTCTTTCCCTAATAGAGCTTGATTTTTACTAAAAAAATTATGTTGATATCGCTTTTGGTTTTTGATTTCACCCCCCTTAATCCCCTTAACTCCCCTTAACTCCCCTTAACACTCCTTAACTCCCCTTAACTCCCCTTAATTCCCTTTAACTACCCTTAACTCCCCCTAATATCTCTTGACTCTCCTTAACTCTCATTAACTCCCATTAGCTCTCCTTAACTCCCTTTAACCCCCCATTTTATTTAGATTATTTTAAAATCAAACGACTTCTCCTTATAAAGCTTGATTTTTTCTAAAAATTTTAAGTTGATATCATTTTTAGTTTCTGCTTTTTTTTAATATTTCAACCCCCTTTAACACTTCTTATTTTTATTCAATTTTTTTTAAATCGATAGGCTTCATCGCTTTAGAGAGCTTGTTTTTTTTGAAATTTTCAAATAACATATGGATGATGAAGTAGCGATAATTTTTACACGACCTTTAACGAACTTCCAGAATGGAACTTGTATCTAAATTTGATATTGGGAGAAAAAAATGGCCAACACTAGCCCACATGTTAAGATCGTCTACGTTATGCTTCACAAATGAAAATTCAACGTCTTACTACTTTCCATCATCTTTCGGTCTTTCGTTCAGTATCAAATCATTTTTCATTTCTTTTATGCTAAGAGTTCGTCCAAGTGGGCCTTACTCTTGTTAGATGGGAACCACCAATGATTCTCAATATCAAAAGTATTTTTCTGATCCACAAATACGCATACATGGGTCAACCTTTATCTAAATCTTTGTATTGGCATATTTTTCTAAGTTATGCTAATTGAAGTCATGGAATATACGTTTTTTAACAACCAATGGTGCCAAAAAGTATTTAATATTCGAGGACAAAGTATTATAATCCTTACCTACTTATAAATCACCCGAGTACTGGTTTAGGAAACATTAAAAAATATATATTGCATTAATAAAAACAAGGAAGTCTTAATTTCAACTGTTTATTTGAATTTTTGTTACGAATCATACCAGAGATTTAAATTAAACATAAACAGTGTGATTCTCATTCCCATTAACAACACTTTAGATATATTATTAAGCATTCTAACTATCATATACAATAAATCATTTGAGTATGAAAATAATCAATCTATAATTTTTTAAGAACAATTAAAATATCATTTCTACCGTCTATTTGTAAGCTTATTATACCGATTGGGGTAGTAACAATTAAAACTCTAATAAAAAATATTTCTATATCACTTTGAATTCACATGTAATTCAGTAAATTCAATATAGATATGTACATTTCAATAAATTCTATAAATACAAAAATATCCGCATCTAACTCTATTAAAATAGACATTTATTACAAAAATATTATTCTAGTATATATTTTGCGGAAACAATGCATATTTGGATTGGATATACGAGGTTTATTCGATAAATATTCGAAAACTTTGATATGGAATTGACTCAACTTTTAATAAACGAAATTCCTGTTACCAGAAATGCAACAATAATTTTGAATGTAATTACTTATACTGTGTTCGCTAGCAAAGCAAATTAAAATAGTAACTATTATTAATTTCTCTGAATTATCTTTGCATGAAAACTAAAAAAAAAAAACACGTTAAACTAACCTTAAAGATGTGAAGAAGTGGATAAACTCTTGAACGTATTATTCATTTCGATAAAGATGCACTAATGACATCAATTTCTGTCAGTTAGCATTGCTGGAAAACAGAGTATAATAAACTGTAATTATTTTAATATTTAATAGCGCTAAATCTAACAACGCAACATATCATCCCAAATTTAAGTAGGCGGAGTTTGTCCCATAAATACCAATGGATAAGGTGCAGCCTCCGTTTCTGTAGAAACCGACGGTTGTCTGTATATTGAAAAATCTATAATCTCTGTACTTTTCAACAGCCAATAAGACGTCACTGTACCCTTTCCTTTCAGCTCCACTTCACCTCTATGCTCCAACTCGAAGGTACCAAAGGATTCCAGGATGATTCTTGTAGTCTCGCTGACGTGGATTTTCTGAGCTAAATCAAAAATGTTAAGTGGTATATACTGTTATGCAGCACCCTGGTAAAGGTACGAGAAAATGAAGAAGATAGAATAGTCTAGAAATGTCATATCAATGATAAAATTTTGCTTCTTTTTCATAAGTTCCTTTTCAAAAAATCCACCTTTTAAATTTTGGTTTTTTTAAATAACCATTCACCGCCATCCAGTCAGGGATATTGCCAGTTATATCCTCAAAATTAATTTCTTCGCTATTTTTATTTTTAATATCACAATTTGATTCACCTAATTCGTCATGTTCTAGCTTTATCTTAACACTATCTTGGTTGATTATAATTTCTTCTAGTTTAACTACAATTTCATATAATTTTTTTTTCTGTTTTCGACATATTCTAACCTTAGTACGTCCCTCAAACGCGACAGCAAATTTACCGGTTTTTTATAATGATATTTTACCATGTCTGGTACTGTAACGCTGTTTTGATTCTGAAGGGAGTATTTTTTCTGTGTACTTTCCGGAAAAATTGCAGTTTGACTTTGACAGTATCTTGGTGCACAGGTCCTATGAATCTGTCCCATAATTTAACACGTTCGGTGGCCGAAACTGATGTTAACAATGTAGAATCCAAACAATGTTTAACATGTGGACACATCCACATTCCAGAGGGTGGATTAGTTAAGGGTGGATTAGTTAAGGGTGGATCTAAACAATCTAAATGATAAAAACTCTCACAAAAATCGCAAGCAATCAATAGTGCAACTCTGCAAAATCTTCTACATTCACTACACTTTTTGGCTGGCAATGGAACAGTACCTCCAAGACCTTTTTCATGCGTGAGGCTTTTGTCTTTCAGCCTACCTTTAAGTACGGTATTTCTTTATCAACTCATACTTCTTGGCAATTCAAATTGTTTTGGATTCATTGCATTTGCAGCCTCTATCAGTGCCTCCATGGGGCTCAACTTTAGTTTTTTTAGGTTCTTTGGCATCAGAAGTACTCGGTGGTGTACTATTTGATCTCTTACTATGTAGCTGAGGTGTGGCAGTAGTAACTTCTTTTTGTTTGGCAAATCTACATAACTGACACAACTATTCTCCTCTGGGTATGTCTTTTTCATCAAGAGGTGAATCATGACATCCAAAATGAAAACTATAAGGACATTTATCACTACATATTAGGTCACCACCCTCCCCATAGGCATCGCACATATCAGGATTGTGTCCCTTTCCAGCTCTCTTATAATAAGAATGGTTAGGCTTTTTATTCTTCTCATTATCATCCTCACTTTGGGGAGGTTCTATTAATGCTTTTATTTGATCCATGAGGCCCCTATAGGTGTCTAGATAATATGTTACCGTAGTCATTGTGTGTTAAAACCTTCTTGTACAATTTTATTCAAATTTTTCTTCTAAAAATCTGTTAAACCTTCAATTTAAAAATATTTTTTCTTGTTGGTTAATTAATGATTTTCTGTAAATATCTTTCTTAAATTAATACTAATCATTTGAAATGTATATCCTAATCACTGGTACACTAACAAGGACAATATTCTTGAGTATTATTGCTTCTGAATAATATATTTTATACTTATTATTTACCTAAAAGAAATTAATTTTGAGGATATATCTGGCAATATCCCTGACTGGATGGCTGTGAATGGCTATATAAAAAACGAAAATTTAAATGGTGGATTTTTCGAAAAGGAACTTATGAAAAAGGAGCAAAATTTTATCAGTGATATGACATTTTAAGACTATTCTATCTTCTTCATTTTCTCGTACCTTTACTTATGACGCCCGCAGGACCATAGGATAAAGAACAATACAGAAAAGAAACATAGGGTTAAAACAGGACTCTAGCAACCGAAGCCACGCCTTCTTCATGGTGGAGCATTGTCAAAAGTGAGTGAACCGTTTGGTACCTTAATCGATTAGAACGAGGAAAGATACCAGGCTCCCGTTTGCAATGACTTAGACAGAGATCGTAGATTTGTTACTTGTACGAAGTGCAACAGTGCACACTTTTGTAGCAGATGAACGAGGCTGTCGATGTCAGAAAATCAATATTTTTTTGTATGTCGTGTCTTTATTTGTCGTTTTGGATTTTTGGTTGTTTTTAGCGAATATTCTGATAACTTTTACGTATTTTTAATGGTTTATTTTTAGTTTTTGTTGGTGTTTTTAATTGTGGAGTGTTAATTTAACTTTATTGTACGTATTAAGATTAGGTTTATAAACAATGCCGCGTCAAAGAAGAGGAGGATATACTTGTATTTATCATGGATGTACCTTAAGAACAGAGGGCAAAGAAGGATTGTTCACTCTTGTGAAAGATCCAGTGAGGTATGTATGAAACATTGAAGGTGAAATAGGAATTGACCTTGCCATAACATTGTAGTACAATGATTGTAAGTATTTTTCAGACTTGAATTGTGGCTAAAGGCAACAAATAGAGAGGACTTATTGGGAAAGAGTGTTGAACACTTAAGTAAAAATTACAAAATTTGTGAACTACACTTCCAGGATAAATTCGTTTATCAGTCAGGAACAAGAAAACGATTATTTGCAAATTCATTCCCAACAGTATTTCCCCATTCAGAACCTACGAAAAGAGTCACAGGTAAATAAATAAAATTTATAGTTAAATGTTACAAAAAGTTTGCTACTCATCTTGCTTGTCATTTTTTTAAAAAATAAAATGATAAAATGGTAAGTATTAATAATCTTAGAATATCAACCCATACATTCCATTTTATAGAACAACCTCGGAGGTAAACTGCACTATGTCGACAAACAACAACTTAGGCAAATTGTGAAAAGGCGCAAATTGGGACACGTATAGCACGTGTGAAGTGAAGCAGCACAGCACGTTGTTTTGTAAACTACAGGATTGAATATGGCACGACACGTGTCGGCTCACAGGCGTGTCACGCAGTAGTTCAGACACAGAAAAGTTAGGTTAGGTTATTCAGTTTATTTAAATTTCTTCTTCATTAAGAAATAAAACAACAAACCCCGCCGTTTCCTATTTGAAACCGCGTGTCTCAATATGCGGATCACCACGCAGCACGTGTCGCACGTACGAGTCGTGTCACTCGTGTCACGTCACCTCACACGTGCTCTACACGTGTCCCAATTTGCGCCTTGCCTCAAATAAAGTAGTTTTATTAGTTAGGTTAGTAAAAAATACAAATATTGTGACAATAAATGAGTGTCTAAATGCATATCTAGTTGAAAAATAATTTATCAACATTCAATCTGCTGTACTAAAAAGTTGATAGTACAGTTTACCTCCGAGGCACAGAATTATATTCATATTTTAGGAAATTATTTTAAATTTCATCTGGCTAAAAAGTGTGACTCAAACATTTAATTCTGACAAATGATACACCTACTTGACACTAGTTGATCTGACAAAAATTTGGTTTCACTTAAAGGAATTTGTTGTTCATGGCGAAGAAAGCAAAGACAACTTGTGTCTACCCTCAACTTCAGCAGAAGCAGAATCTATTGAACAAGTGCATAGTCAACCATCTGTTCCTCTACCTTGTGTAACAAATTCAAACGAGTAGTATGTTATCATCAAACACTCCAAGAAAGCAGAGACTGCGACTGAAGATAGCAACGTTAAGGAAACGTTTGTTTGGTGCAAAAAAGATGAAAAAAATAATTACTCATTATTTAATATTTTATATAAGTACCGTTTATATAATTATGACAGGGTAAAATAAACTATTGTTTAAAACTATATAATTTTTATTTTTAAAACCTCTATTGGACGTGCTACAAACGGAAAAATATTTTACTTACCTAAATCGAGAATGGTTTAAAATGCATTCATGCAAATTTTCATAAAATATGGTACAATGGTGGAACTGAAGGTCAAATATTTTAATCCCTTCTACTTCAAAGTTCCGACCATTACTTTCTTTTCTGCATTGTTCTTTCATCTGTGGCAGCACGCTGCAGGGTGCTGCGTAACAATACAGTATGGTGCAAATAAAAAAGTTTAGTTTGTTGTTACTTACGCATTCCAGTGCTCTCCATTCTACTAGCAGTATTTACTGTGTCGCCGAATAGGCAGTAATGCGGCATTATATGACCGACGATACCAGCACACACTGGTCCCGAATGTATTCCTATTCTCACTTGAAGTTGGAAGTCCGGAATGTGTTCGCAACTGAACACTTTGACTTTATTCAGAATGGCCAAAGCCATCAGGGCTATTTCTCTGGCGTGGTTGTCTCCGTTTCTCTGGGGAAGGCCGGAAACTACCATGTAGGCGTCTCCAATGGTTTCCACCTAAACAAATTTGATTTTTGTATGTTTGAATTTTGTTCTTACAAAAATGTATGATGAAATTTATGTTTATTTGATTTTTATTAAATAAATATTTATTTATAGAACATTTAGTAAGTTGTTTCTAAATTTATTTTCTAGTGTCTCTCGTTTACTAAAACAGCTCAACAATTTAAAGTGTGGTAAGTAGGTTAATGTGGCATATGAGCAAAGTAAAATTTGCAAAACTAGTGCAACCATGTCAATAATTTTTATTATTTTATTTTAGGCAAATTTTTAGGCTATTTTTAGTATTATATCGTGTTTGTGACCTTTACCTTGTATACGTCGTAAAATTTTATTATTTTGTCGAATGTACTATATAACTCGTTCAAAAGATCAACTACCTGAAACAAAAAATAAATAAGATAATCCAATCCAATCCAAAGAGCAAAATACTTATTAAAACTGGTTTTCGAATGAAATAAGTTAGACAGCGGTGTAATATATGTTTAGTACTTAGTCCCACATGGGATGGGTGACATTTTTGGGACTAAGTCATAATTTTGGTTTGGCATTTTCATACCAAAACAAGAAGATTTAAAAATAAAGTTTTAATACAGTGGTATCGCCAATAATGGCTACACATGTATGGATATGGCTTTGAAAAAATAAAAATGTTTACACGATTGCATGTTTCATGAGAAATTTCAGAAAATTTAAAATTAATTAAATTTCGTATATTATATTGCTATTTCAAAAACAAATATTTGTTTGTCAAGTCTATTAAAGAGAATCATATTTGTTGTGTTTTTATGGAGTCGAATTTAATAAATATTTATTGAGAATTACTTTAGATTTAAATTATCACAGTTGAGAATCATTATACCATTATCATTTTGTGTAATTTATAATAAACCCATAAATCATTTCAAATGCAAAATATTCGATCAAATCCAAATTATATGAATCAAATCATCATTATTTTAAATTTGATCTGTGAAGGTAACGGGTCTCTTTTACGATATTTATTTTACAATGCAAAAACTGCCAGCTATTTGGCCCCACACACACAACTTTTGCAAAGGAAAACATCATACGAAGGATTGCGGAAAAAGTCCGGAACAACAACCGAAGTGTGTAAGTTGTCTAATGGGACATCCTGCTAACTATAGAGAATGTGACATAGCTAAAACCTTTCAGATAACGAAGGATAACACCACTAAACCTAAACTATTGACGAGGCAGAGAAGACCTAAACATTTTTTCCTACTGTCTTTTGGATTTATCTAATAAGAACCACATTCCAAAATATTATAGTAACTTTTATACAAACTTGTAAATTAACTTGTTAGATAAAATTTTGTGTTTTTTAAATTATTAAAATGTTGTATTCGTAAAAAAAACTGTATTCATTGTTTTCATTTTATTTTCAGGTAAAAAAATAGCAAATTAAATAAATTTAAATAATAAACAAATAAAATATATCCATATAATTGTTTTTGTTTTCTATCAAGAACGTCATATTTCAACTTATGACACATTTTGAATTCCGTTTGTGTAGCAATAGGGTCATAAGTCTGAATGGCAGTTGTTTTATCGTTGTAGTAGATTAATAAATGGTTGTAAAAAATGTAAATGCTTCATGTATTACTGCTATTGATTGACCACTCTATCAAAATATACCAATATACCACTGTTAAGTATTTGGCATCAGAATGACAGTCATTATATACTTTAAATTGCATTTATCTAGAAATGTAATTTTTTAAGTTATGACGTTGTCGTATTTAATGATCGACATAGACGTATATCATTGTAACCAATAATATCTAAGTTATTTGAAAAGCTACTACGAAAACGACTAAAACAATAATTAAAAATAAAAGTACACAGGATAGCCGATATTTTCGAAAAAGCATATGGAGAAAAATATATATGCTCAACTATATTTCTTGACGTAGCCCAAGCATTTGATAAGGTTTGGCACGCTAGCCTGACAGAAACTTGTAAAACTGCTCCCTAGACAATATGTCGACATTCCTTAATCATATCTAACGAGAAGAATGTTTGGAGTAAAGCAAGAGGAGGCATACTCCGAAATTAAAGAAATTAAAGTGTCCCACAAGGCGGTGTGCTAGGACCGTTTCTTTACTTATTATACACCAGCGATATCCCTCAACAACAATGTAATAAAATAGCAACATTTGCGGATGACACTGCAATATTGGCAGTTGTGGAACTAATACAGAGACCTTAGAAAAACTCCAAGAAACCTACAACATAATCAATTGATGGACAAAAAAGTGGAAAATAAAAATAAATCGATTTAAATCAGTACGTCTGGCCTAAAATTGCAGTTATATAACCATGTATATACCTTATTTAACTATTTTCAGCTTTCGGAAATTCTCTTACGTAACCGTAACTATTAAAGCTCCTATAAAATCAGAATCTGATATCAACTTAACCCTGCAATTTTTGTATCTTCATCTTAGGCTACTCTTTTTGCCTCTGTATCAAAAAGTTGTGAAGCAAACCGCATTAATAAAACTGGTGCTTGAATGTTTGTTTAAGGTGTCAATAGTCAATATCTGTTAAATTTACTTATGTATTAGAGTGGCTGATATTAAATCTCGCCCACGATTATATTGTCACGCTATACAAATATCACCCTATATATAAAATATACATTTTCTATTTTAATATACATTCGTTACATTAAATAATTCAGCACAATATTTTATATAATATTTTGATAAACAGTAGATTCAATTCATAACTTCATCTTCGATAAATGTGAATATAACATCAGACTAGACACGTACTGACCTTAATCGATTATTATAAAAATCGGCTAGGTCAACAATCATGACACTTTTAGTTTGAGTCTTATCATCGTCTCGCATCCCATTAGAAGAAGTAACGTGACGTGTCCTCGTCGCTTTTAGATGTTTAGCCCTTGGTAAGGCCCTTTTATATTATTGTAACTATGGATATATTATTTTATCTTTAATAAATTGTTAATTGCACATAGAGTCACTATTTAAAGTGACTTCCTTACGACCTAAAGGCCCGTGACAATATTACTGAATTGAAACTTGTTTTCTAAATCTCCGTTAAAATAAATTTTCTGGAATCTCACTTACTTGCATCGGAGTGGCACTAGCACAAAAACTAGTGAACCCAACTATATCACTAAAATAAATAGTGACGCATTCGAACTGTTCCGGTTTAACAATTTGGCCTATCATCAGCTGCATGGCCACCGGTCTCGGCAACACTTGGTACAGAAGTTCTTCGGAACGTCTCTTCTCTTGGCTAAGCTCTTCGGTTTTTTCGTTGACCAAAGCTTCGAGATTGTTCGCGTATTGTTCCATCCGTATCAGCAAATCGTCAATTATGTTTTCACCGAATAGTCTAAAATAGAAAACTTAGTGTGGACAGGGTCATTTTACCATACTCCGTATCGTAATATGGATATTACAGCACGGCGAGTTGGGAATAATTCAAAAATGGTAAAATTATAAACTTTTATTTGACGTAAGCAACATACTTCATTAAATTCCGTAAATGCTGGTGTATCTGTGGAAAAGGAGGTCGTTCCTCAGGAACATCACTCCAAGAAATCTGCATAAGCTCGGTTAGCTTTTCTGGACAGTCATAGACTTGCACAATTGGACGGAACGGAGGACATTCTCTTGAAGCTACTTTCAAAATAATATCTGAAAAAAAACTTGTACATAAATAATTTTTTTTGCGAAAGCAGATTGTAATTTTTGAAATTTGTGTGATCACCTTCTATGGTTATTTTATCTATTTCTCTGGCTATTTGAAAAGGTCCTGCACGCAAAATGATCTCCTCCAGGATAATTCCAAAACTGTACACATCCCCTCTTTGTGTCGGTGTTACAGATGATTCATTTGATAAAGGAATCAGTTCTGGAGCTACCCAAAGCAATTCTGAAAAAAAATTGATGTTCAAGTATAGAAATACATCTAAGTTTAGAACAAAAATAAATAAAAAATGATGAAGATACTTACTTCTGAAATAATCAGTATCTTTGATAATTTCTGCGGGTGTAGTCAATGTATGTAGTCCAAAATCAGATATTTTTAAAACAAATCTCCCATCTATTAAGCAGTTGCAAGATCTCAATTTACCATGGACTGAAACTTCCGATTGATGAAGATATATCATACCCTAGAAGTATAAAATAAATACATGCTTTATCTTTGTAGACTACCGTGAATATTCTTATATACCTTGACTATATCGTTTACTAACGACATTCTAAAATTCCAGTCCAACTTAATGTCTTTGTTATCTAAGACATCCTTCAAACTACCTCTTGGACAATATTCCGTGATTATCAGAGGATTAGTACAGTCCAAACAAGCTCCTATGAACCGTACAGTGTTTTCATGACTGATTTCTTTTATCTAAAAATAAAATATTAAACATTTTTTCAAAAACTGTAGGTCTTAGAAAATATAATACCTGTCTAACTTCCATCAATAGTTTCTTATTAACGTCAATTTTCTTATTCTGCGCCTTCTTTATGGCAACTCTGTTGCCCCTGTACATCCTGACTGTTGTAAACTGTTGCTTAGAACTGCTGGAAGACATCGAAGATCTGTTGCTGGAGACGCGATAGGGCTACAAACAATAAATCTATTTTGCTGTCAAACTTAAATATTTATTTTTTTTACCTCAGACGCCTTATCAGTTGAATTTGGAATAGAGTACAGTTCTTCCATTCGTATCCTCCATGAAGTATCATTTAAACTTCTTCTGCTCCTCCTATTTAAAAACGTGTTCTTTAAAATGATGAAATTTCATTATTTAATATTAACCAGTTACAGCATTCTAATAGGTTTCATTTATTTAAATGTCCCAAAACGTCCTAATCACAAGTAGTTACACCACCAGTGGCATTATCTGATAGCGGCCAAATAAATATTAAAGAGCACCGAGACGAAAAGGCATCCTTGTGGCACTTTATAAGTGATTTACCGTGTTTTATTTAGTTGAATTGATTTGGACAAACTGTTGCCGCTTAGAGGTAAGTATTGTCAAGGTTTAGTGGGGCACCTCTAATAACATAACTTCTAGCAGGGAATTCAGCAACAAGATATTCGCTGTGTGCATTTGGCTTGGAGGGGATAGATTGAGCTATCTCAGCGCTTATGGTGGCAGGAGTCGGCAATTGTCCACATCATCGTAGTAGCGCGGCAGCGTGTTGTGGGTCTCGTGTTGGGTATTAAAATGAGTCGTCGTTATTGTAGTGTTGTCAAGTGTAAAAACACTAGCAAAAATAGTGCGTGTAAGTTTTATACGTTTCCAACCGCATCACATAAATTGGAGCAAAGAAAGAAATGGATAGCAGCTGTGAAAAGAAAAAAGTGAGTAACATAACCTCTGTCGTATATATATCATAAACATCGAAAGTAGGAGCGGTATTTGAATGCTCAAGTAATAGTGATAAATAAATTATTTATAACGTAATAGATTTAATGGTTTTTCAAATTACATTGATTTATGACATTCAAAACGCAGATACTTCGTATGCATAACCTCCAATAATTTTTATGTCATTTACTTACTTTTTATGCGACAGAAACAATTTTTGTTAGTCTATCAACTAACAGTGAACACAAAACTTGTTGCAACACTTAATTGTTGAAAAAGAATTTTCAAGTTCAACTGTTGAGTGTGAGGTATATAGCAAGTATGCGGGAATGAATGAGGAGAACTGTCGCTATCCCGTCACCAGAGAGCGCTACCAGTCTTGCACACATCGAATAACTGATTGTATCACATGCCTTACATATTAATGAAAACACAATGCAATGCGGGACGTTTTGGTCATAATATCAAAGAATCGTTTTCATGAGATGAACAGGCTTTAGGGTGGCTGATTTTGAATATGACATTAAAAATTCAAAATGGCGGATCCAATATAGGACAGGAAAATATTAAAAATAGCTTGTTTTGCATAAAAATGAAACTTGGAGTGGTTTTAAGGGGTTTTTGGGGTCACTGATTTTGCATATATTAAAAATTGGAAACTTAAATGGCGGATCCAATATGGCGCACGAAAATATTAAAAATTGCTTGTTTTGCATAAAAATGAAACTTGGAAGGTTTCTAATGATAGGGGTCCTAATATTGACTCTTGTGGAAGTCCAGATAAATTTTCAATTTTAGTAGCGGTGTTTTCTTCAAAATATATTTTTTATGAGTACTTAAAATACTTAAATCCGACCAAATGAAAAATAAAGACTTATTAAAGTAACCAAATTATTTAAGTTCAGCACAAATTAATTCATGATTAATAGTATGTATTGAAGACTTTAGAAGAATTCATTAAAACTAAAGGCGAGAGACTACTAAAAATAATTTACATGTTACAAAATATGTTTAACCGTTTTATTTGATTATGATTATAAGGTTCAATATAAGTTATACTTTTTTTTGAGTATACTTTAAAGAAATCAAGTTCCAACCGCACTTATTTATAACTTACCTATACATGCAAAACATTAGAACAGCGCAAAACGCTATAATGGTGGCAAAAACAACACTTCCATGTACGAAAACATAGTAGTCTGCCAGCAGCAAAAAAAAAAGTTAAAAAGAAATATTAATACCGAAGATAAAAACATTTACAGCAAATACAGAAAAAATAAAAAAATTAAAAAATCATACAGTGTGGCAAGTGGCCTGGATGGACTATCGGTAACTACAATTAAAAATATACACCCTTACATCCTAAACCCGTTAGCACACCTTTTTGAACCAAATATTAACCACTGGCAAAATACCAATATCATTTAAAGAATCTGTAATAACACCCGTCTATAAATCAGGAAAAAAAGAACTAGCCACTAACTACAGGCCTATATCAGTCATAAATAATATTTCAAAGCTTTTTGAGCAATGTTTAAAAAAAAGGTTAGTTGAATTTATTGAACAAAACAAAATATTAAGTACAAGTCAATATGGTTTTAGGAAAAATCTTTGCTGTCAAGATGCGCTTCTAGACTTTGTGCAAAATATTATTAATGGTATTGACAACAATAAAAAATGCCTAGCGATATTCTTAGACTTAGCCAAGGCATTTGACACTGTTGATCACAGATTGTTGTTGGAAAGATTAGAAATAATAGGTATAAGAGGATTAACGTTGGACCTTTTCAGGGACTATCTATCACAGCGAACCCAGTTCGTTAGAATTGGTAGCCTACTTAGTGACCCAATGACCGTTTGTAGGGGCGTGTCTCAGGGAACGGTACTTGGCCCAATTCTTTTTTTAACATATATTAACTGTATTTATAATAATAAAAATATAGGAAAAATTATTTCTTATGCAGATGATACTGTCATTATCTATAAGAGGGAGAGCTGGAAAGAAGTCTTTCTAAAAGCTGAGGATGGTTTGAGTAAGATAAAGATGTGGCTTGATAATAGTCTTCTGAGTCTCAATGTCTCCAAAACAAAATTTATTACATTTTCACTAACAAATGCTGATCAACCAAATCAACAGATTTTAAAGCTTCACAATCATAACTGCAATAAAGGACCGATTTGTCAGTGTGTAACGATACAAAAAGAAAATAAAATAAAATATTTGGGGTTAATGGTTGATCAACATCTGAGATGGAACGAACATGTCATTTTTTTAAACAAGAGATTAAGAAAACTTATATATTTATTTTATCAAATTCGAGATATTCTTAAAAAAGAACTCTTACTACTTATTTATAATGCCTTGGCTGAGTCGCTGCTAAGATATGGCATTCTAATATGGGGTGGGCTTCTAGACAAGGCTCTCGATGGGCTGGACTCGACACAGAATACGTTGTTAAAAATATTGTTCAGAAAGGACCTTAGATATCCAACAAACCTATTATATAAAGAATTAGACATTTTCAATATTAAACAACTATATATGTACCAAACATCTTTATGGGCAATTTCTAATACTGAAAAACTTCCTAAGCTTTTACACACTACTTCCACAAGAGCTCTACTAAATAAGCATATGCCAATTCCTCTTTTTAAAAAAATGCACACCCAAAACTTTATCTCGTATTTTGGCCCCAAAATATATAACCTAATTCCTACATACATAAAAAATATTACAAATGAACGATCTTTAAAAAATGAACTTAAAATATTTGTACAGAAAAACTACAGTAAAATTAAGAAGGAAATATTTAATGTTTTATATTAATTTCATGCTACATAATTACATATTCTTCAGTATCAGAGAGTAGCCTTTCTTTTCTTTTTCTTTATTAGTCTTGTAATTTATATTTTTATAATTTATAATTTTTATTATTTTTGCTATTTTTATAATTTCTGCTAATTTTTATTTGTATAATTGTTTTGATTTTTGTATTTCCATATTTCTCTATCTTTTTCTTTTTTTTGTATTTTAAAATTCTAAATTCTTTGTTTTTGTTTCTATAGTATATACTTAGATACAATTTAAACAGCATTTATAAAACGTAAAAAAAACTAATATAAAGATTCCGCACACAAACTTTGTTTAGGCGGGTCTTAAAAAATTGTTAAAAAAATGTAAATTATTTTAATGAATAAATTTGATTTGATTTGATTTGATTCATAAAATTTATGTCTGAATGAGTTGAGATATCGATATACAACAAAACTGAAATCTCAAATAGACAAAAAATTAAATGATCTCAAACATAAAAGAATAAAACAGAAGATGATAAAGAATGATCGGTACAAAAATTGTAGTTATAAAAAAAATTTTAAAAAACCGTTTCCAAAAAAAGAAGAGATCTTGATCAAATTTATATAGAACCACACCTGAGGTACCCCCTCTCTAATAAAAATTATAGGAATCAGTTAACGTGTTAAAAAATCGCTGAACATACATTCCGACGAATAGAGAACCTCTTCCTTTTTTTTGGAATCGTTTAAAAAAAAACAATTCATCATCACAACTTTACCTAAATGTTTGCACTCCGGATCACTGCCCATGAACCCACATTTGGGTACGTCAGGAGGTGCTTCCAATTTGTTACCAGGCCAATGGATATAGGAAACGCGTATATACTCCTTAGAGGAACCTTTATAGTGTCCCACTACTTCAAACTTCCCAGTTAAAGGGTTTAAGTCCAAAATCGAATAATCTGCATCTCTGTCGCCATTGCTGTCGATTCTGACTTGACCGGTAATGCCTACAAAGCAGAAAACTATGATCAACAATTACAAAAATAATAATAAAATTATTATTGTTAATAATTAGTTTTGTTTAGTTTTGAGGTATTTCTATTTTTAAGGCTACAAAGAATATCTGAGCAGTGAAGTAATGCCTGTCTGCTATCTGTATAAATCAGCATGTTCCTTCCAGTAATATTATTTCTGGTAAATATGAGAATAGCCGCGAGCTGAATTTAAACTACATTGGCACTATTGCTTAGAACCCATTTTATGATTAGGTTTAAGGTTCTGGAGTTTATTCCACATTCTGAGCCTTGTTGTTTTAGAATCGTCGGTGTAGATATGAATCATACTTGCCACTTCCGGCTCTTCTATTTGTTCCGTTATAACTTTATATATGAAAGATATATCTCGGAGAGATGGAGTCCATGTTCGCTTAAAGTATATCGAGCGCCTTCTGCCAAAAGTGACGTCTCGCCTCACTAGAGCCTAAGTCGTATAATTGTCATCAGAGCAACCTCCTTGATGCAAATATCAAAAGAAGTGAGACTAAGAATGACATGGTTCTGGTTGGTGTGATATTTCATGGCTCCTGTCGAGATATGTTGTTCTTTGAATTCGTTCTAGTTTGCGAATAGCTGTCAATTGTTTGGTTTTTGGACAACTGCACCGTATGTTAGCATAGGTCTTGTAAGTCCATGTGAAGACTCTAGTAGAGAGACTCCAGGTGTGCCCTACGGTTCGGCGGCATTGTTCATAGGCAATGTATACTTTTTCTAGGTGTAAGTTCAGTGTTAACTTGTTAAATATGAGACATAGGTACTTCACCTCTGTTTTGTGTTTAGGAGCTTTGGAAGTTTTAGTTCCATTTTTATCATTTTTCTTGTGAAAAGGACCTTTTCTGTCTTCTTGGAAATGAAAGTGAATAATCCTTGCACCATTGTATAATTTTGAGAGCTACTTATATTATTTTGCAGAATATGTATATGACAAGGTCATCTGCATACGCTATTGTGTAGAGACTAGCATTATTAGACGGCTGATGGGGGTGTCGATGACCATGATAAAAGAGAAACAAAAATCATAATACGAGTAATTTTGTGCTTATTTTATTGTTTTTGAAAACCAAAAACAAATCATTCACTTGGTTAGTTATCTAGACATATTGATTTAATTTATTACCTGAGAAAGTCCTATTCCACATTCTTTCAGTTATACGTTTTCCGTCTCTAATATCTTTACCATCGTTTAAGGTCTCATTTAGAGCCATTCCCAGTAAATATACTCCATCATAGAAAGCTCCGATTACGAAGTTTATCTAAAAAAAGAGTTAATTTAGATATACTATATATTAATATACTATCAGATTCAAATGTATATTTTTTTAAAGCACCTTTCAAAGTCACTTTTACAACTGGTATCTATAAATCAATTCTAAACTGGCTAGTGTCTAATGACTTATCGATGTCAAACCACCGCTGGTTAACATTCAAAATAAACTTGATGTTACCGACATCCACATTATCTCGAAACCCTAGAAAGATGGACAGTAAGGTGGGTCAAAAAATTTTATTTTAAAATTTTCATAAGCGTTACCAAAGAAAAATTGTGTATGAGGGAAATAAAAAATATTGTTAAAAAACAAGTATTAGAAATTAAAAATTTAAAAAAACCGACTTCAAAAACGTGCAGATGCCATTACCACATCTTAACCAAATTTATATGGGACCACCCCTGAAGTACCCCCTTACTAACAAAAAAGAATCATATAAATCGGGCATGGTGGTAAAGCATTATCGCTAAACATACATAAAAAATGAAGAGTTTGAGGATTTTCTCATGGACCCAATGGGGCATGTTCAAAAATTTTGAAATTTTTTTTATGAATAGTAGAGTTAAAAATAAAACTACATTTTTTTTATTTTTTTTTTATCTATTCATTTGCCGGAGTTATGAATCTTTTAAAAATTTATGACGTCACCGGGAATAGACCAATAGGAGCTAGCGCACAACGTTGCCGGCTAGAAGGTTTACGAGAAGTGATGTACGTTCGTTTGTGTACTCCTTCTTACTTTTAGACTTCTAAAACATCGTTAAACAAATATCTTTTAAATATATAATATCAAATGTTTTTTGAAAGTATTATTTCTGTTTAAACTTTTACCATATTTAAAGTTTCATTGTTTTAAAAGACACTTAATAATTCAGAAAATGGCAAAATGGCAGCACTGTGTATGGCATCTGTCATCATAGTGTCTCGATCAAGAATTTATTTGGAATTTGAGTGTTTAATTTTGTACTTTTTATAAATATTATGACTACGAAAAAGTGTTTTGTTCCAGAATGTGATAATGATTCACATTCATCTTCAAAAATATTTATTAGTGTTCCTAGAAATTTGGAAAGAAGAAAATCAACCTTCTACTAGCGATGTTTCTCGTGAACTTTTTAATAAAAATACACCGGATTATCAAGATGTAGCAGCAATTTCTGCTAATTGTCCCCTTCAGGAAATTGAAAATGAGGCTACTATAAATTCTTAGGTGTATAACCTAAAAACCCTTCTGGAAGAAAATGCAGAATCTCCTGAAAGTTTTGAAGATACCGAATTTATTCATCATTTTGTGGAAGAACTAGTGATAAAGAAATAATAGAAAAATGTGGGTATTTAAACAAACTGGTTCCTGGATCCCATATAATGGCAGATAGGGGTTTCAGAATATTCAGCTACTTGAAAACATGGGATGCACTTTAGTAAAGCCACACCTAGTGTATCACAGAATGAAAAAAGTTCTCCAGAAGATGTACAATTAAGTAAAAGAATATCATCTCTAAGAATACATGTGGAAAGAGTTATAAGAAGGGTTAGTTAATTTAACATGTTAAAACCACATTCGTGTGTGAATTTTAAGCAAGTACATTTACTTAGTAATATCTGCATAATTGCTTGTTAACTTACAAGAACCTATTTTGTAAGAGTAAATATTAATTTAATAAATTTTTTTTGTTTGTTTTTTAATTTAATTTACCTAATTATCATATTTCAGGGATTATAATGAGTTTTTAAACAGCCAATGTAATTTTTTATAAAATTTTAACTTTTCGAACAAATCAAAGAGGAATGAGTACCTGTATATGCATAGATTTTTTGGGACTAAAACTACCAAAACAGAGGCACCAATTTACAGCAGTTTAAAATGAAACATTTTGACAAAAACGCCTATGTCACAGTGATAAATATTAAAAACAACCAAGTTCAGTTGAATGTGGTAGCAAAGTCTATATATTCCAATAAATCGGGTAACTACATGTGGTATCACTGCTGATAAATTTAAAAATATCACAATTCTTGCCACCTTTTTCAAAAAACCAGAAAGTGTGCCTTCTTATCAATCCTTTATGAAAATGACAACAGTGATAAATGTGAAAAAAAAATTTAATGTTGCTATTCGTTATTACGATAGTAAAACATGTTTGCAGTTCCGTTTATTTTTTATGAAAATCTAAGTAAAAACAACCAATGTCAAAGGGTTATAATTGTTTTTCTGTCGAACCAAATATATCACAAAATTTAAAAATTGATCATAGGTCAAGCTAAAGTAATACCTTTATTGATAATAGCATTAAAAAAGGAGAAAGAATAATATTGACTTAAGTTATTATTATTAACATTGGTGATTTTTAATAAAAACTCTTCAATTATTGTTTACAAACAAAAATATAAAAATTGTGAAAATTTTATTTATTAACCATTTAATAAAAAATGAGAAAAATGAAGTAAAAAACAATTTATTTACAAATAAAAAATATATATACAAATCCTAAGAATATAAAAGTACTGATTTATTTTCCTGTAGTGGATGAAGAGGTTTCTTTAACAATCTAGCCAAGTGTACATCAATATTTTCGCATTTTGATAAATTAGAGCCTTTCCAATAACACTGAGTAGATGTTACAGATGGTTCCTCACTTCTTCTATGAAGCCACATATTTACAACCAACTGAAAAAAAATAAAAGGGTTAGATATGCAGTTACAAAATAACTATATAACCAGCTACAAAATGCCTTTATTTTATGTAACAAGACGAGCAGAGCTTTACTAGCTCTGAACGAATCCAGTAAAGAACCTCGGATTTTCAAAACTTAAAAAAAAACAATCTCACCACATTTTCACATTTTTGAAATATTATAGAGCTTTTTGAAAAAAACTGTCATTTTTAAAAATACAATTTTTTGTTTAAACAGCTATGTCTCATTTTAGGCTATTGAGTATTATAAAATAAAAAATTACGGGATGCTTTGTTAGCTTCAAACGAATCCAGCAGAGCACCCCAGTTTTTTTTTAAACCACACCACGTTTTTTGGCTCCTACAATATTATAAAATATTCGAAATTTGGCATTTTAAAAAAAATTCGCAATTCCTTGCTGACTTCAAAGTTTTTTTCTGAAAACAAATGTACTTACCACATTTTTAGGATTTTAAAACAGCCTAAACATGTGTCATAAGTAGTTGTTTTTAATATATAAAAAAAAAACAAATTAAAAAACTGAAGTGTCCTGCTGACTTTGTTCCAACAAAGCACCCTGTATTATTTAAAAATAGCAATTTTTTTAGTAAAGTTTTACAATATTTCAAGAGTCTAAAAATGGGGAGTGGTTTTTAGAAAAAAGCTTTAAAAAACCGAATTGCTCTGCTGGCTTCTTTCGAAGGTTAGCAAGCACCATGTATTTTTAAAAATATAATATTTCAAGTGCATAAATATATGGTGTTGCTGTTTTTAAAGAAAAAACTTTATAAAACAGAGGTGTTTTGCTGACTTCGTT